TATCAAAATTTCAACTTTTCTCTAGGTTGAATGGCACATACCTGTAATCCCAGCTATTCAACAGACCAAGGCAAGAGAATCACAAGTTTGAGGTCAGCCTGGGAAATTCCATGAGAAAAAGATTTTTAAAGGACTGAGGACGTAAGCAACTCAGTATGCCCTGGTTTCAACCCACAGTACCAAGAAAACAAATCAAACTTAGAAAAAAGAAACTGACAAATAATCCTAAGGTTTACATTGAAATGCAAGTATCTTAGCATATCCAAAAAAAGTTAAAGGGCTGGCCAGATAGCTCAGCAGACTAAAGCGCCAGCTTAGGCAGGCACAGGGACTGGGGTTCAATCCCAGGTGTGCCATGCTGGCCCCGCCCCCGGGGCACGCTAAAATGGCCATTGAGACTGGGTGTGGTGGCACGCACCTATAATCCCAGCACTTGGGGGGCTGAAAACAGGAGAATCACTACAAGTCCGATTTGTGTAGTAAAACCCTGTAGACCCTGTACTAAATACATTAAAGAAAACAAAAGTCAAGTTAGAAGACTCCCACTTTCTGATTTCAAAGTGCACTGTACAACTACAGTAGTCAAAGATGGTGCGGTCTGTTATAGTGATACACATTTCTATAAAATCTGTACAATGTAAGACTAGAACAAAAAATTCTAATGTAATATACATGTAATGGTATATAAAATTAACCTTAATATTTATTATATATGGCCAAGTAATCTTTTTAAAGACACGGTCTTGCTATGTAGTTTAGACTGTCCTTGAACTCACTATGAAGCCCAGGCTGGCCTTGAAGTAAAGGAAACCTCTGCCTCGGCTTGCCAACTGATTATAGGCCTGTGCCACAACCACCTGACTTTTAAGTGATTTTTGACAAGTTGCCAAGATAACTCAATGGGGAAAGAATACTTTTTTTCAATAAAAGGCACTGGAAAATAAGATGCCTGTACCAGGAGAATGAATGCTTACCCTGATATAGTTGGAAGGCGTCCCACAAAAGTTTACGTGTTGGAAACTTCATTCTCAAGTTCATATGCCAATGGTATCTGAAGGTGGGGTCTTTCGGAGGCAATTAGGGTCAGGTGAGGTTCAGAAGGTTCCACTTTAGGGTTAGCAGATTTTAAGAAAGAAAAAGAAACCTCAGTTTGTATTCCCACTCTCTCGCCATGTGATATTTTCTGCCATGTTATAATGCAGCTCTTACCAAATATGGACCCAGCATGTTAGATTTCCCAGACTCCAGAACTGTAAAACATAACTTTCTCTTCTTTGTACATTACTTACTCACAGGCATTCTGTTGTGGAAATACAAAACAGAGTTGATACAAGCCCCTAATATCCCTCCTCTTTTCTGTAAGACAGAAAAATTAACTCAAACCAGATCAACCTAAATGTAAATGCTAAAACTATAGAATTCCTAGAAGAAAACATGGTAATAAATCTTTGTGACCAAGACTTAGGCAATGTTTTCTTGAATACAACAGCAAAAGGTCAAGTGACAAAAATAAATTGTACTTCACCAAAATTAAAAAGTTCTGTCTATCAAAGGAGACCCTCAAGAAAGTGAAAAGAGGGCTGGAGATGCAGCTCAGCAGCACAAGCACCTGACTGGCAAGTGCAAGGTCCTGAGTTTGATTCCCTGTACCAAAAAGAAAAAAGAAAGAAAATGAAACCATGAGCCGGGCATGGTAGTGACTGCCTGGAGCCCCACTAGTCTGCAGGGATAAGGCATGAAGATTGCAAGTTTGGGTCTAGGCTGGATAATTAAATGACTTAGTTGAGACCTTGTCTCAAAAAAAAGATGTTGGGGATGAAGCTCAGGAGAACAAGGGTCTGGTTCAATCCTCAATAGAAGAATGGAAGGAAGGAAAGAAGGGAGAAAGGGAAGAGGAAGAAGGGAGTAGAGAGGAGGGGTGGAGATGAGGATGGACAGACAGACAACCCATAGGATGAGAGAAAATATCTGTAATTCATATATTTAAAAAGAAACTTCAAGGGCTGGCCAAATAGCTCAGCAGATTAAAGCGCCTGTAAGCAGGCACAGGGGCCAGGGGTTTAATACCCAGGCCTGCCGTGCTGGCCCCATTCCCGGGGTGCATTGAGATGGCAATTGAGACTGAGCATGGTGGCACATGCCTGTAATCCCAGCTCTTGGGAGGCTGTAAACAGGCGGATCACTACAAGTTGGATCTAGTAGTGAGACCTTGAATACTCTGTAGACCCCTCCGTAAAATACAAAAAAGAAAGAAAGAAACTTCACACTTAGGTATATAAAGACCTCTTAAAATTCAGTAATAAAAACACAAATACTGTAATCTAAATACCTATCACTGTAAAAAAAATAGAAAAGAAATGAAGAGACAAATCATCATCAAATCAAAGCAGGCAAGGGGCTAGGGTTGTAGCTCAAAGGTACAGCACTTGTGTAGAGTGGATGAGGCCCCGGGTTCCATCCCTAGCACTGGGAAAACATGGGCTAAAGGCCTGAAGAGACATTTCTCCTAAGATTATATAAAATAAGTAATAAATACATAACAAGAAATTTAAAACCATTAGTTATTAGGGAAATAAAATCACAACTACAATGAGATACTATTTCATATTCATTAGGATGACCGTAATAAAAAACAGAAAATAAAAAGAACCAGGAAGGATGTGAAGAAATTGAGGCCCTCATACATCGTTGATGGGAAAGTAAAATGGTATAGGAACTTTTGCAAACAGTTTGGCAGCTCCTCCAAAAGTTAAATAGAGTTACCAAAAGACACAGCAATTCTATCCAAGAGAAAATACCCATACCCACAAACGCTTGCAAACAAATGCTCAGAGAAACACTGTTCATAAGCCAAACATAGAAGTCAAATATCTATTGCCTGACCAACAGACAAACAAAATGTAACATAGCCATATGACAGAGTATTATTTGGCAATAAAAAATGCTATATGAAACAATATGATCTGCAAAACATTATACTACGTGGAAAAAGTCAGCCATAAGACCAATACATATATTTGCATGAGCTCAGATAAATTTATAGAGACAGAAAGAATATTAGTGGCCACTTCGAGCTGGAGACAGTGAAATTAGTAGGGTGTGACTGCTAGTGAGTGTGAAGCTTCTCTGGCAGGGGAAGAGGGAAATGTTCTAAAACTGATCATGGTGATGTTTGTACAATCCCATGAATATACTACAAAACATTGATCAGCACCATTGAAGGGGTAAATTTCATGGTATGTAAAATGTATCTCAAAGCTGTACCAAAAAGAGGAAAACAGGCTAAGCGATGTAGCTCAGTGGTGAAGTGTGCGCTTTAAGCATGTGTGAGGCCCTAGGTTTGATTCCAACCAAAAAGAAAAAAGAAAAGATGGCAGCAATAACATAATGTCTATGAGCCACTAAAAATGACCTGGTAGGGTAAAAGTGGTGGAGCATTGCCCTCGAGTAGAACAGAAGATGGGCTCCAGAGCCAAAGTAGGACTGCTTTTGATCACAACAGCAATGGCTACCCATAATAAGAGAAGGCAAGGTACATGAATATAGATGCTGTATGGTGGTTGGATGTGGCGGTTAGGAATACACAGACATACTCTTCTGAGGGATTTTTAAGCAGGGTGCCTTAGCATGATGATGAGGCAGGTTATGGTGGAGATAGGAAGAGAGATAAAGTCTGAAATAGTCATCTCAGAGGACAAAAGAATAAAGGCCTAGGGAAATGTCCGAGTTGGACTTGATCAGGGTGGAGGTTTTGCCTGTATGCTAAATGTTAGTGAGACGGACAAAGGGAAATGAGGGTGTATGCAAAGGATTGATTATAATTAATGAAAAGCCATGGAATCTAAGCTAATTAACATCTTCACTGGCTTTAACCACTGATGGTACCTACATGACTGTCCCATCAAGTGGCTTGTACTACAGACAGATCTAATGTCTTTTGGTTTTGAGACAGGGTCTCATTCTGCAGTTCAGACTGTCCTTGAACTCACTTTGTAGCCCAGGCTGGCCTTGAACTTGAATTGATCCTCCTGCCTCAGCCTCTTGAAAGCTGGGATTACAGGTGTGTGCCACCAAGCCTGGCTTACCTAAACACTATTGTCAGTCAGTCTTTTCCCTAACAAAAAGCTACCTGATGGGACAGTCACACTGGTGGTTCAAGCTGCCCTGATCCCATCATGAATGTGTTAAACAAGGGGACTAGAAGCATGCAAGAAGTGTAGAAGTTGTTCAGTCCCAGTGAGCTGAAGGATTCCCAGAAGCAGGGTATTAGAGGCAGTGAGCTAGGACAGTAGGATGTACAATTTGGAAAGGAGGATGTCAGTAAATGAGTTTTGGAGGCAATGCAGTCATTGGTGTTTCTAAAAAAAAAGGGTGACACTGTGCAATTAGGTGGCTAAGGTAGGGCTGAAAGGCAGAGTATTTGTAAGAGGGAATGACAGAAGTGAGAGGTGAAAACATTAGGAGGACCATCTATGAAGATATTAAAACCACCCAGTGGGGGCCGGGGAGATGGCTCAGTAGAATAAGTGCTTCCCTGGCAAGTGCAAGGGCCTGAGTTCAATCCCCACTTCTGCCAAAAAAAAAAAAAACAAAACAACAACAACAAAAAAAACCCACAGTAAAACCACCCAGTTAGGACCAAAGCAGGACTAAGGAGAGTGACAGTGAGCTCCAAGCTTAAAGCCTAGGAATGAGGAGTGGCGGAGGCGAGTATGAATGTCTCTGGCTCCACAGAAAGGCAGTGGATAGTAGTACAATGATTTAAGATTTTTTTAAGGGGGAAAGAATTTTAATATATACTGACTTGCATATATTAAAATTCAACAACCATATAAATTGAGGACAGATTGTATATTATTTTGTCTGAAACCTTATGAAAAATATTCATCATTTAGGAAAACTGTCATCCTCTTTGTGGTTTCTGAGGTTTTTATTTTTTATTTGTGTGTGTGTGTGTGTGTGTGTGTGTGGCCAGCTCAGCCCACCAGGGGGCGGGGCTGGCTGGCATGTGGTGCTGGGGGACTGAACCGCGGTCTCTGTGCTTTGCTAAGCTTGTTCTAAGTAGGTGCTTTAGACCACTGAGCCATCTCACCAGCCCCGGTTTCTGAGTTATTAATCAGCACATAAGTCCTATAGCTGTTCAAATATCATTATGTGGAAGATCACTTCATAATGTCTTCTACGGGAATCACATTCTAGCCTTTATATACTGAAATGTGTATTGCTCTATTATAAGCCACTCTTCACCCTTGTATTGCAATAAGGACATTATAATGGTTTGGGGGAATTATGTATTATACAGGTTCTATTTTCTGTGTACTTCACAGAATAGTGAAGGGGACATTTGGAAATAGACACTATAAAAATTAGAGGCCGGGGAGATGGCTCAGTAGAATAAGCGCTTCCCTGGCAAGCGCAAGGGCCTGAGTTCAATCCCCGGTTGCGCCAAAAAAAAAAAAAAGAGTAAAAAAATTAGAGTGTTGGGACCAAGAAAACAAAGGAAGCATTCAAAAGTTAGGATGAGAAAGGGAGAGGATTGCTGTAAGGACAGAAAAGAGGATGATCACTTACAATCCTAGCATTCTGGGAGGCTGAAGCAAAATGACAAGCATGTGCCCAGCCTGGGCAGCTTAGGGAGAACTTGGTTTTGTTTGCTTTTTGGTGTGTGTGTGTGTGTGTGTGGTACCGGAGACTGAACTCAGGACCTTACACTTGCCAGGCAGACACTTAGGCTGCCGAGCTATATCCCTGGCCTGAGACCATGTTT